GTGATATTGATATTACAGATTAGCATTGTTAATGTGGAGAACACTCTGACTAATGAAAATACTCCACCCATATGTTACTGCCCTGGTGATGAACCTGTGGGAGTTCCATTTAGAAGCTATGCAAGCAGAGGTGGAACCGGGCGGTGAGCTCCTGTCAAGCAAGCAGCAGGGCTCAGTTCAGCCCCGTGCTTCTCCAGCCTCACTGTTGTCTGTGCTGACTCACGCTTGGTCTTGAAAGGGGCCTTTCTGTTCTGCATCCTGACATCCTGCCTCTCTCTCCACCTAGGCTCTCTTCTCACAGGGTTGCCCTGGACTTCTCCTATGTGGACATATTTAGTAATGGCACATTCCCTTCTCCACTTATTTTTCTGAATGTCATCAGCATTTTTTAAAAGTAAAGACCATTGAAATATATTCATGCCAGCCCTCCTTTACTTCAGATTCCTATATCTGATCTTTCATTGTCCAGCTCATTTTTCCTTTTTATATAATTGGTGGTTACAAAAATGAGTCCAAAAACAACGACTGATAAGAAATCACATCAGGCTTGTTTCTTCTTTTCTGAATGTTCTGAAGAGAGGAATGCTGGGCTCCACAGCTGTTTCCTGACCACACGCCTGGATGTCCAAGTGCCTGGCCACACTTCCTATAACGGGGGTCTCGGGTGGACTATCAGAAGTGTGTACTACCACTTAGCTGGGACAGGTGGCTGATGTCTCCCCTGCTCTCACTTCTGTGAAGTATTATTCACATTTCAGAACCACGTCACATCTAAATGAAAATATGTCCTTTTTATTTAAAATAAGTCTATGAAGTGATTTCAGAAAGTATTAATTATTTGAATTCTTATTTCTCAAGAAAATTCTGTGCAGAACATTCCCTCACTTTATAAAATGACACATCTGGTATTCAGAAATAGTGGTGACTTGAAGTAAAGGTGTGCATTGTGTCTTTTAAGGTCAGTTTATATATTTAGTTCTGTGTAATTTCCACTGTGGTTATATGAAATTTAAAAAGAAGCAAAACTTGTATGAACTAAATTGAATGCTATGTTAAGTGCATACTTGGTTTTTTGGTCATTAAAGGTAATTCTGAGTAATTTTTAAGGTGTGTTTTATCTTTTCCCTTAATCAGGTTCTCATATATTAGGTTTATCTAAAGTAGCTTTTCTTTATTTACTTAGTAAGCATTATATGGATAAAATTTTTCATGTTTTCTTTTCTCCTCTCCCTGTCTTCCTTCCTTCCTTCCCTCCTTCCATCCTTCTTTCCTTCAGGAAATCTAGAAAATCCAACCCTTAAATCAACTGCATAATGAAGGAGGCAGACAGAGACCGCTAGAGATGACATGATCAGTGGGCAAAAGCAGAAGCAGTGGCTGGGACCTCTTTAAGGTGTTTTTGTTTTTGTTTCTGTTTTTAATGAAATGGGAAAAGACACAGAATGGCAGCTGATATTAAACTTACCATATTTGGAATTAGATCCCTAGGAGGTATAATTAATAGATATTTCTTAAATAATAATAATAATGTGGTTACAGAATTCCAATGTAACAGTGCAATGTAATGAAAAATAACTAGGCGTGTGCATTAGTGACTGCTGCGGTGAGACAAGCCTGCCTTTCTTTGTGCAGGAACCCAGCTCTCCCATTGCCCTAGAGGGTAGTGTTCAGATAGGATAAGACAGTGCAAGTCAGCGGACCTTGCCCTTGCTGGGTCGTCACAGGGACAGGAGCTTGGGAAGTAAGGAAGTTACTGCACCCTCTTATGGCTCTCCAAGCCAGGATGAAAGGACAAACTGAACAGCTGTCCATAGTTTTATCAGTTCCATGATTCCAGGACATCCCCACATTTCAATTTGGCATTGAAAATTCTATAAAGACTTCTGATAACTGTGAGCTACAGATACCTTTAAAATAATAGATTGATGATTTCCTTTATTTCCTAGAATTTCTTTTATACATACTTTGTTTACTTTTTAGATTGTATTAGTCCTTACTTCATTTAAAATGATGAATCTGGTTTGAATCAGCTGTTATTCCAAGCTATCATGCTTAAGCTTTGTCAACAGCATTTATTTGTCCTATTATTTCATCAGAGTTGCCTGTGGAACGTGTACAGTTCTTAAGTTTAAAACGTCAGTTCTTGAGATATACTGTATGAAGCTATTGTCAGCTTCTCTATTTCAAATGCAATCAGCATATAACTATATTATATTAGAAAATATTTGTTTTTTAAAATATATTGATGTATGATAAAGATGATCTAATTTGTGAATGCATATGCGTGTGTGGTTACTTTTTATAATGTGAAATGGATAATGAATTGACTCAAAATAAAACATAGGTTAATGAGGTGCCTGTGTTTGTGAAAAAAGTTTTGAATACTTTCCTGCAATTTTTATTCTATCATTAAAGAGCAAGACAGTTCATTTTCAAGTAATGAATAATAGAAGCACATCCATGTCAACTGTAAATTACTCAGGGAACAGTCATTCAGTGTGAGTCTTTTTCGTGCCATTTGTTTCCTTTCCTTCCACAAAGCCTCTTTTTGTCCATGTTTAGTGATGTGTTATGTCCTGCATCAGAGGATAAAACAGAACTGTTTAACTGTTCATTTTGTCAGCATAGTTCCAGTAAGTGTGAGAAATTTGACAACACTAATTAAAGGAATTCAGTATGGTTTTTGTGGATTTCATTTAACTATTTTAATTATGTCTCCTACTATCATCAATAATGTGGATTGAACATTTATGATCTAGAGACTTTGTGGTGCATAATGGTACATCAAGGCTGCATCCCTTTTTCCAGTACTTCAATTCAGTCACCTTGACTCTGTTACTTTAAATAAAATGGATAATTTCAATTTACTTGTTAAAAAATAATTTAGGTGAGTTATTAGATTTTTTTCCCCATCATGGATGTGGGAAAAGGGGAAAGTGAAGAGAAAAATCACCACTACTTGTAAAGTTTAAGAATGTAGAGAAGTTAATTGCAGTCTTGCTCCTAGGTATTAAATTCTGAGTTATAACAGTCAATCATGCAGGGTGTGGTGGCACAGACCTGTAATCCCAGTGGCTTGGGAAGCTGAGGCAGGAGGATTGTGAGTTCAAATTCAGCTTCAACAACTTAGCGAGGCCTTAAGCAACTTAGCAAGACACTGTCTCAAAATTAAAAAAAAAAAAAAAAAAAGTTGGGATGGGGCTGGGGATGTGTCTCAATTGTTAAGAGCCCCTGGGTTCAATCCCTGGTACCAAATAAACAAAAACAGTCAATCAGTCAATCACAATTACTTTTGGAAAAATTTTTTTTCATTAACATGATAAACTTCTAAAGTTTTTGAAATTTTGTCACATTTATACTTAAAAGCACAGATTGTAGACACAATAAAAAATGTCAGTAGTTATGAATATCCACACAGATCTCCACTGACACCAGAAACAAGACCAATGTTCTTATAAAAGTTATGTTTAACAACTTACTAGGTAGATCCCGTCCACCAGGTGTAAAGAAAGCATTCTCTCCTCCTGTGGCCCTTGACAGTGACCCTTCCTGTACTGGCTCAGCCCTGTTTATTTCAGAGCATTATGTTCTCAAAGACCTTTTCTCATTTTCATCTCTTAAAAGTGAGAAATTTTCCTGAAATCTCTGCTATTTTTACAGACCATACTTCGACACAAATAAACCTGACTAACAAGTCGCTTAGGAGTGGCTCTTGGAGTTAGCCATCTTTCTTTGTCTTTCTTCCTAGGCCCTGGAATTTCCTGGTCCTAAAGGAATGTCAGGACTTGGACTGCAGGAATGAATTAATGTTCATATTTGAGAATGATGAAGTCAGTCTTTAAACTGCCTCTTAATATTATCACCTATTCAGCTTTACTCTGATTTATATTAATAATTGAAAGAACTAACCAGTAATTTTAGGTATGTTTCAACATTATGTAGAAATAGATAGAAATTAATTAGGCATTTGTCGACACAGTTGACATTCCAAAATTAGTTAGCTCTGTGGTCATTCCTAGTTCCTTGTTTCTATGTCAGAAGATTACTTCTGGAGGAAGCTTCAGGGATATTTTCTGTTTTCTTTTTTATTTAGAGGAAAACTTTGATTTGAGCACGCCCTGACTATTTAGCAGGATCCCATCAGATGCTTTAGGTAGAGGGAAGGAGGAGTAGAAAGGCTTGTGATGGGATGCAGGAGAGGGGGGCTTCTGACTCGCCGTTGCTGCACAGTGGCCTGAGACAGGTGTTTCCCTTCCAGAGATACAAGGTGTGGCTTATTCACTAGATGCAGAGGCACTGGGCCAAAGGCCCCCATGCTGAAAGGGCCCACAAAGATGCTTTACTTCTAGCAATAAGCAAGATATATGCTTTGATAGAATGGTAAATATAATCCAGAATATGTTCATCTTCATACCAATGCAGTTATAAAGTATAATTTTAATATGTATATGTATATATGAATACATGTGGGGAGATATATGTACACACACACACACACACACATTCTTATTTTTCCCCCTTTCTTATCAAGGGGCCCATGAAGGCAAAAATGCCTGGTGCCCATGAAAGTGACAATGTGACCCTGTTTGTGGATCCCTGTTTCTTTGTGAAATGAAGGTGTTGTGCTGGACTTATTTGTACCAGAAAGGAGTCCAGAGAGAAACAGGGCTCAAGGAGATTATGTACATGTGTTTCCCCTAAGGCTTTAATCTCAAAATAGTGTTGTGACCATAACGATGTTCTTAAAGTTCAGTGTGTGAGCAACAGAGAAAGGTAGATAGCCCCGGCTCTCCAACACAGCACAGGTTGAAAACACTGGACAAATTGCAGCAACGTCTTAAAATGTTATCAATTTTATCCTTGTGTTCATCTGAGAACAGCCTGAAAAAGCTGAGGACACAGGGGACACACACTGTGCCATCCAGTGCTGATGTCCCATGTGGGTTCAGATGCCTGATTGAGCACCTGCTGTCACACTGAGAGCTCATGCCAGTTGTGGGTCACAGGAGATTGGATTCACCACCCTGCAGAAATAGGAGCACCCTCGAGGTTTCCTTGTAGACCCTCAAGTGGAATGGCCGGGGCACCTTGGTGACGGGAGGCAGGGAATACAGTGATTTCTGTCAGGGTTCCTGTCACCGCCTCAGTTCCTTTCTCATCAACTTCAATCACTGATTGAAAAAACCCAGAAAAGGGAATAGTGTGGAAGACCATTCATATGGCAGCAGAGAGAGGGAACGAATTGAGCCCTTAAAATTCTTGATGGTGGTCCTACCCACTTGGCCACACTCCTGGGATTTAGTGGTACAGGGCCCATCTATGTCAGGAGTCACAGTCTGGGGATGTACCAGGGACTCCCTTAGAAACCTAAGAGGGGTTTTTCCAGGAGACCTCAGGAACCCAGTGTGATTGTGTAATATGTAAAATAAGTTCTGTGATTGGAGCCAGGGACTCTGACTGGCACATTTATGCATACGTATCTAATATTTGTGGAGCCCCCATATTCTGTGCTATTGATTCTTGTGTTGAACCAGTGCCTGTGGAAGGCTTTGAGCTGCCTGGGTCTCCTGCATCCTTTGACTTTCCCTCTGGCAGGGTGGGGACAGGGTGTGGTGAGTCTCTGGTGGGAGCTCCCCAGTGCCTGGTCCTGTTCTGGGGCACTCCCTGGGGCAAGCCTGAGGTCCTTGAAACCTTCCTAAACTCTGCTTATACTCAGGCTACCTGCCTGTTTATGAAAGTCTTTTGTCCAGGAACCTAATGGAATATGAATGATGTGTCTTTATAATTATTTTATCAACCTAATAATTCCTAGAAATTCTCTATTTTCTGGGGTGAAAGTTTACTCCCAAGAGCAAACACAGGGTATTTAATAGTTTACAGTTTAAGCTTCATGGAGATGCCGTCCTTGTAAAACAGCACGTGTCTTCAATTTTCCTTGTGTTTCCAGCAGAATTGTCGAATTGTCTTGCCTTCCCTGGCACGCTAAGGCCTGATTGCAGGCCAGAGTTTTCTACTGAGTCCTGCAAAGGTGGATTCAATTTGTCCTCCCTCTTGGAGTTGAAAGTTACAATTGTATGAGAAAATATGAGCCAACTCCACAGCCAAGGAAGAAGGTGACGAGATGTGGCCGCCACGTGGAGATGTGTGGGGGCATTTTCTTTGTCATAAGGATCATGGGGACAGGGGAGGGCAGAGGGGGCTACTGCTGTCCTCAGTGAACACAGGCCCGGAAGGCCACCCAGTCCCCAACAAGGCACAGAACTGCTGTGGACCACAGGTGGTTCTGATTGTCCTCTGAACCAAGAGCACCTCCCCTGAGAAACGCCGATTGGCTGAGGGCATTCTGTGGACTGACTAAACCTGTTCTTAACAGTCTAGGCATAAAAGTCGGGCCCAAAAAATAGGAGTTAGGGAGAAGCTACAGGTGTGTGTGTGTGTATGTATTAAATAGCCATTTGTGGATCGGGCTGCTTCTCAAGGAAGGGATGAAATAAATCTCGGTCACGAGACTGGCACCAGAGGGGTTTTCTAGAGGAGCTGTCCAAGGCAGGTGGGCGGCAGGGCCTTGTAAAGTCAGGGTTTCCTTCACCCTGAAGGGGGTGGGATTCCGTGGGCTCTTTGAGGATTCGACAGACTCGTGACTTTGCAAGCCAGTCCACTTCAGGGCTAGGTGGCTCCTCGAGCATCCAGAGGAAGGGGACAGGGCTCTGCTGAAGAGAGATGGGCAGAACAATCCACCCTAGATGTATGCTTCCCACATTTTCCCCCCATTTCACTAAAGGGTGGGTTGATCCTTCCAGTTGCTAAGGCTAAAAGCTACAATCACCTTTGACTGACAGATCTCTTCCTTTCTCTCACTCCCATCCAGTCCACTCAAGATTTTGCCAACTCTTGCTTCCTTAGGTAGATCCAGAATCCAACCGCTCCTTGTCACTACCACTGTCAACCCCACCATCCAAGCAGCAGCATCCATCGGGGTTTGACCTAACCTTGAACAGGTCTCCTGCTTTCACGCTCATCCCCCTGGTGTCTTCACCACGCAGGCCATCGCACCCCTTCCCAGACCCCCCAGGGCCCTTCCGTCTCCTCAGACAAAGCCCAAGTCTTTTCTGGGGCTTGCTTGGTGAGGTGGCCAGGCTCCCTGCTGCTCCTCAGCCGAGTGGGCACACTCCCATCCCAGAACATTGTGCCCTGATGCGCTTCTCCATCAAGAGAGCCCACAACTCACCCTTTAGCTCAGATGTCGGCCTGACACTTCCTTGGGCCTTTCCTGAGCCCCTCTCCCTTGCTAATGCTCCTGGTCATCTTCCTGCCCTGGAAAACAAGCTCCTGGGCCAGGGACTTGGCCTCTTTTCTTCCCTGCTGCATCCCTAGCACTGGGCAGGGATCACAGTAGGAGGAGCCCTGTAAGTACTTGCTGAGTAAATGGCTGGATGAGCCAGGCCTGCCATCCATCGATCAATGCTGGGGGAGAGTGGGAAAGAAGGAGACAGCTGCCCCCGCCCTTGGGAGCTCAGAGCTCAAGGGGCAGACAGCTGGAGCCACTGTGCCTGGGATGAAACCGTGGTGAGCGTCACAAGGACAGATAGGCGGAGATTGTGCATGTTACATGTTCCTGAGCCATGTCTCCACCAGCTCTGTGGTCAGATCACCTTCCAGGGCCAGGTGGTCACCTGTGTTCCCCATGAGGACCACCAGCATGGTGGTGTTTCCTCAGTAGGGCAGTGGGAGGACATGGCAGTGAACCTTCTTATCAAAGGTGGAGGCAGACTTGCCTGCCCTGTACATCACTGGCGCCTTGACTGCCTTGGACTTGTCCAGGTGGAAAGTGTCAGCTTCGGTGAAGGTGGGCCACATGTGGCCAGCCCCTTCCCTGAACGAGTAAGAAGGGAGTGCATGCAGAAAGCAGCTTCTGCCAAAGCAAGGTTCTCACTCACAGAGGGAGGGCTCTGCTGCCTTCCGTCTAGCAAGGAGCCATCTCCCCTCATGAAGTTTGCCAGGGCCACAGCTCAGGCAGGCCAATGGATTACCCAGAGGCCTCAGCTCTTCTGGGCAAAATGCCCTCTACTCACAAGCCCAGCTGGAGTCACACACAGAAGCAAGGGAATGTCTCCTGGTCCCTGTTCCCCATCTTTCTGGACCTGGACAAAACTCACTCTCAGTCCTGGTTAGCTTAAGTCTGGAGAAGACTTGGGGCCTTTGCATGGCCCTGGCCACCATCTGTGCAGCATCTCCATAAAGTGACAGCATTTCTGGCCCACGCACTCCCAGTACAGGGGAAGCCCCAGCTCCCCTCTGCACAACCCTCTGTACCCGAGCCTGTCCTGGGTCGTGCCCTGGCTGGCTGCAAAGTGGCTTCCCCTCCTGGGGCTTCGCTCATCTCCTGGGCTGGCTCTTTGTTCCTGTGCATCCACACCCTGTCCTATGCTCCCAGAGAACCTGGGATCAGGGTGTCAGGAGACCCTTGTTGTGCCTGGCCTGGGCATTTATGTGGACTGAGCAGGTTTGCCTCTCGGGCTCTGCTTTCAGCTCCTGTTCTGCCCTATGCGTTGGCAGCCAGGGAGACAAAGATTTCTAAAAGCCCATGTATATGTAGTGCCTCGCCTGTGCCAAGCACAGCTGGGCACTCATTATCTCATGTGCCCTCGTGACATCAGAGCAGGTGGGAGTGTCCCTGTTTTTCTATAATCAAAATTGGAGGACAGAGGTTTTGTCACTTACTCCAGGTCACAAAAGCAGAGAAGGAAGAAGAGAAAATACAACCCTAAATTTCTCGGGCACTGGGTAGAAGTGCTAGGAACACAGTAAGAAGTGGAGGCTATGGGAAGACCAGGGAGTGCCTGGACCTGTCTGGCACCGTCTGTCGCTGCTCCAGCTGGCTGTGCAGCCGGAGAGCAGGTTCACAGGAGCTCCTCCAGCAAGAGCCACTCCCTGAGCAGGACAGGGGAGCAGGACAGGGGAGCAACGGACAGCTAAGGGCGCTTTGGCTTGGGAGAGCAGAACATGACCCAAGTCCCTCAGAACAAGATGTGATCCACAGAATCAATTTGGTTTGATATTAATCTCATCAAATAGCTGGGGAACTTCCCCCTGAGGCTCTTTGTGTAATATTCATGAGCCCCTGGGCCTGAGGGCACTGAAAATTCACAGGCATATGCTGTATCAAGGGGCCTCTTGGGTGAATTGGGGAAGGTCTCTTTGCCATCAAAATCCTTGTGGATGAAGGCAAAACTCCCCTGGGCAAGGCCCAGCTCTGGTGGAGAGGGTCTCTCTGATCAGCTTAAAGAGGGAGGCAGGAGCAGGGGCGTGGCGTGGCTCAGAGTCTGCAGGTGGAGGCTGCTTTCCACCTGGCGCTCTCTGCCCTCTGACCCCAGCATCAGGCCTACCATGGCCAAGGGGAGTAGACCGCGTTGCCCTGTCCCTCATGGGCATCTTTCACAGGAGGTTGAGCCCAAAGTTAAAAATCTCACTAGACAGCTGCTGTCTGGTCATCAGCCAGGCCCCCTCTGTCCCCAGCTGATCCTCCCCATCAGTAGGAGCCTGCACTCCCCCCACCCTGAGTCTGGTTCTGAGGAGGCTGAGGCTCCAGAGTGTCCATCCCTTCCTGGGCTTCTGGTGACCCAGGACCAAGGGCCAGGCCAGGCACCAGCCTCATCTCCGCCAGGAGGACAGAGAGCAGGAGGCTCAGGGCCACCTCATGTGGTCAACTGTGGAGGCCAAGGACTGGTTCCGTTCCACAGAAGACTCCCTGCATAGGAAAGGGGCAGGGATTGCTTTAATGCCCCAAGTAACATGCCCCGAGTGAGGGGTGACCATCCCTCCAGCAGCCCCGCCTCCTCTGGGAGGATCCCACAGGGGCTCAACTCTGGCTCGGAGAGTCCTGCCCCGGGGAGCCCTGGAGCAGCCAGGGTTGCACCCATTCTCCAAGGAGGGAGCAAAATGTCAGCGCAGAACCCCTCCTGCTCTCCTCCCCTGCGGGGCCCTTGGGCAACTCCCATTCTCCAACTCCTTTTTCCTCTTCTTTCTCTTTCCTCCCCTTCTCCGGGGACAAGTGGCAGTATCAGAGCAGGGTCAGGTGCCATCAGGGGCCTCACAAACCCTTTACAGAATGGCTTCAGGCATGGCCTTTGATTGCTCAGCCATAAGGCAGCCAATGTACGCTGGGCCACGGGCACTTGGGATGTGACACATTTGGCTGGGGATTTGGAGGGTCTGAGAGGCCCTCGGGCAAGAAAAAGAGAAAGCCTGCCACGCTGGTTTTTGACGCACATCCTCCTGCACCTGCCCCCGCCCTGCACAGTGCCCGCGGGTCTTCCCTGCTCCTCTAGCTGGACTCCCAGGATGGCGGGAGCTGGCACAGCCGGGGCTTTCAGCACTGGCCTGGGCTTAATCCCATCTCTCCCACAGCAGCCTGGGGTGTGCTGGCTTTGCTGCTCCAGTCTGGTACCTGTCCCCTACTACCACCTCTCCCAGGTCCCTCCGTGTTCCTTGGCACACAGGATGGCTCCTGGGCTGTGCCCGTCTGTGACCACATGTTCTGGTTCCTGGAGTTTGGCCATACACCAGGCCTGGCTGCACAGGCCACCAAGAGACCCCTCTCCCTCACCCTTGCTCTGTTCTGGGAGGAGGAGGGCCTGGGTGGGGCAGGACGTCCCACCTTGGTGTGGGGTATCGCAGGCCTCTCCCTTCAGGGAGACCCTGGCTCTGGCCCAGGGTCCCTGTGTCAAGGGGGAATGCCAAAGCAAACCTCCTAGGCTGCTGCACCCGGAGCCAAGCCAAGTCCAGCCCCGGGATTCCTCCTGCTGCCCCTCGCCCTGCTGACAGCACCACGGATCAGGGCCCCCTGCTGTGGCCTGAGTAGCGCTCACACTCAGTGAATTCTTCAGCCATGTTTTCCCAGGGTCATGCTTCACAAGTCCTCTCTAATCCCCAGTAGCAAGCCCAGGATCGCAGGTCACGCCGTCATTGTCACTGTTGGGTAAGTCCCTCCTTCCGTGCGCCAATCCCCCCATTCCAGGCCTTCACTGTGGTTATGAACTGAATATTGTGCCCCTCCGAAATTCATAAGTCCAAGCCCTCACCCACAAAACGATGGAGTGAGGAAGTGGGGCCTTGGGAGGTGACTAGGTTGAGATGAGGTTATGGTGGGGGGCCCTGTGTTGGGATTAGTGTCCTCATGATAAGAGGACAAGGGCCGAGAACCTCCTCTCCCCATGAAGGACACAGCATGAAAGGTGAGCATCTGCAAACCAGGGAGAGGGTCCTTGACACAGTCCAACCGTGCTAGCACCCTGATCTTGGGCTCTGAGCCTCCAGGACTGAGACAAATATGGCTCAGGCCCCCAGCCCATGACATTTTGTTAGAGCCAGTCCCAACTAAGACAGCCACGTGACAATATTCAGCTCTACTTTGTAGGGTAAGCCCTCGGCAGGACGCTCTTGAATTTGGTCAGCTCTCTCACGGTTACCAGGAAGCTAAGCCAGCACACCAGCTAGATGTCACCCCTTCCAAATGCTAAGTGTCACCATACTGCTCCTGAAGCTCCCCCTTCTCCTGCCGGGTGAGAGTCCTTGACAGCAGGTGGCTCCTGCACCTCCTAATGGAACCATCCCCCCTGTCATCTCAGGCCTTTGTTCCTCAGCCAAATGGTGAGGACCTATGTGCTGGGCCACTCCTTGGACTAGGAGCCGGCAAGCTCAGTGAGGACACACCTTCCCAGATAGCATCTGATGGTAGGAGACTCCTGGCACCTAGAGCTGCAGTGACCGTCCACTCCCGACCCTGCCCAGGGGCAGGCCCATTCTGCTGGGCCGTTAGTCAGGGCCCATGAAAGGCCGAGACTCACACCACTCCCCGGGCCCCCTTCCTGCAGGGGAGCCCACCCCTTCCCCAGCCCCAGCCTGGATTCACAGTCCCTGTGGAGTCTAGGGTGAGGACTCTGCACTGCTTGGCCACTGACCCCTCACATTGGAGCCCACCCAGAGCAGACAAGGGCATTCCCCCTCCTCTCCCCTCGGGTTGGACTCTGAAGGTCTCTCTGTGGTCACTGCCTCATACCCGCCAAGGGCCCCTGGTGCCAGGGAAGATCGTCCAGAGGAACGATGAAGGCTTAGGTGTTGTAGCCAAAGCCTTCAGTAAATATTTGCTATTCCAAAGTGTGATCCCCTGGGGGCCGTTACTGATTAACATCCCAGAGGTGGCGGAGCTTCTGGAAACCACACACCAGGAGGGGCTTCCTGCACTCCCAGTTCCAGGGGCGAAACACATGGATTCACCTGGAACTTCTGCTTTTCAACTCAAGGCTGTGCCCTGACCCTGAGCTCTGCCTGGACAGGGCCAGGGACTTTCTGTTGAGTGCCTCTGGGGACAGAACACCTGGTGAGGGAGAAGACAATGGTGGCCTCCCCTGCTTCAGCCAGGGTGGGGCAGGTGCTCTCCGACCCCAAGGACCCGCCAATCCAGTGTGAGACAGACAGCTAGATCACAAAGCCTATTTCAAGGTGAATTTACAGCTCTCAGCATTGAAACTGGACAGACCCTCAAGCCCTCAATGTCAAGGCTGGTGGAGACCCTTTAAGCCCAACTTCTCAGACCTACTGACTTCCTTTTTTATCATATAAATATGTGGTTATCTGCTCCTTACCACCCTTGAATCAAAATTTATAATTAATATAACCTACCCACAAATTTAAAAAAAAATAGTGTTCTAAGATGAAGGCAAAATACAATTATAAACCAGGCACAGTGGTGCACGCCTGTAATCCCAACAGCTCAGGAGGCTGAGGCAGGCGGATCGCAAGTTCAAGGCCAGCCTAAGCAACTTTGTGAGGCTCTAAGCAACATGCATTCACACACAACACACACCCAATATATACACGAGTGCTCCTGTCCTGGACTATGCGCTGTTATTTTATTTATTTATTCTTTTCTTGTGTGCTTCTGGCCATTATTTATTTTTCATTGGAAGTTTTTAGTTTTTGAATTATCTCAAAAGAATAGCACCAAGAACACCTACATCCCTCTCTCCAGATTCGCTTTTTCCTTCTTCTCTGTTTAGCCATCTCTACTTTGCACATCAGCACATACACTCACATATGCTATCTTTTTTTAAAGGGCTAATGACATCCTTTATTCAAGTCACATAGAAAAGCACATCCTATTAATGTAAAATGTTCATGCATGTAAGATGATCAGTCATTAGCAAATTTTAAAAGGCTTATATAGGCACACCAAATGTTTCAGTCAACTTTTTTTGTTGCTGTGACCAAAAGACCCAAAAAGACCCACTTTAGAGGAGGGAACGTTTACTTGGTGCTCACAGTTCTGAAGTCCCAGTCCATAGACAACCAGCTGCGTGGCTCTGAGCCTGAGGTGAGGCAGAGCATCATGGCAGAGGGGTGTGACCTGACAATCGGGAAGCAGAGAGAAGGTTCCTCACAGGGGACAAAATATATGCTCCAAAGGAGTGTGGTGGCCCGCCTCTTTCAGCCACTCCCTAGCTGCCTGTAGTCACCACCCAGTTAGCCCCAGTGGTGGGTTAGCACACTGACTAGTTGAAAGCTCTCCTAACCCAATCATTTCACCTCCTGATGGAAATATCAGGGGTCCTAGGCCCCCCAGGAGCCGAAATAAACACTCAGAGACAGCTCTGTCCGCAAGGCAAGAATTTACTTCTAGTGCAGAAGGGCGCCCAGCAATCAGAACCCAAAGCCAGCGGCTGAGCAGGTGGCCTCACGGCCTTCGTCCCCGCCGTGGGTCTTGGCTGGGGCCCAATGGTCAGGTGGCCGCACAATCTTTGGCACAAACAGCTGAGGAAAAGGGCGCTTAGCAGCTGCTCCCTGGTCAGGCTGACTACGCTGCCCCCAGAGGGTCATCTGAAGAGGTGTCCTTCAACTGCCCAGCTCCTTTGCTGTCCCTTGTTCCTAGCTGGGGAAGCCTCTTGGGTGGAATGCCTTTTGGCGCAGACACAATCACTGAGGAGGCGGAGGCTGGAGGCAGAGACTCTAGAAAGGCAGGCAGCCGTGTAAGCCATGGCAGTCGGGCGGCCAGGGGGAATCGGAGTTGCCAGTGGGACAAAAACAGCCCGGGGCTTGCTGGCCCTCTGAAGGGACACCCTCGCTGCACACAGGCCCAAAGAGCAGCCACCATGACTCCAACCTCTTTAAAGGAGCTCAATGTCTTTGCAGAAGTGTGCAGATCACACGGAAGCAAGTGATTTAAGGAAAAGGAACCTCGAGTCGGGTGAGTCAGCCAGCAACCGCCTCCCCGCCCCGCCCCACAGCGCAGCTCCACGGGGGCCGCAGGACAGGATCAGCGACACCCAGACACCACTCCCCACCTGCTCCGGCTCCAAACTCCCCAGGCAGAAACAAGAGGGACTGAGCTCCGTGCAGGATGAACACGGGAATTGTGACACAGGTCAACACCCTCCGGCCACCCTCGGGCCACACGCTTGACTAGAGAGGCTCAGTCCAAAGTCTGTAGGACCTGAGAAGCTCGTGTGTCCCTTTAGAGTGAAAACACAAATGAGGCCTTTCCAAGGCGCCAACTTTGAGTTGTGTTTGCAGTGATGGCACCGAAAGGCTGCTCTGGATCTTTCTTTCTGTTGATTAATCCACGTTCATTCCCTTTTGGGGGCACAAATGAAGTAGTTCATGAAGACTTAAGTGGCTATGAAGACCATACATCTCTGAGAATGTCTTAAAGAAAGGTCACCAGACCACGTCAATGTTCATGGCAGCTCAATTCACAATAGCCAACTATGGAACCAACTCAGGTGCCCTTTAACAGATGAATGAATAAAGAAAATATGGTACCTATATACAATGGAATATTACTCAGCCATAAAGAAGAATGAAATGATGGCATTTGCCAGTAAATGGATGGAACTGGAGAATATCATGCTAAGTGAAATAAGCCAGTCCCCAAAAAACAAAGGCCAAATGTTCTCTCTGATCTGTGGAGGCTGATTCACAATGAGGGGGATGGGGTGGGTGAAAGAAGAATAGAAATTCACTGGATTAGACAAAGAGGAATGAAGGGAAGGGAGGAGGGATGGGAATAGGAAAGACAGTAGAATGAACTGTCTTTTCCTATATGAATACATATACGAAGCCCCACATCATGTGGCTCACAAGAATGGAAAGTTGTCCTCCATGTCTGTATGATATGTCAAAACACTCTCTAGTGTCATGTGTATCTAAAAAGAACAAATAAAAAATACTGAAAGGAAGGTGACCTGAACCTTTGAGCTCTGAACAGCGGTTGGCAACTGCTGAACCTCACACCTGCGATTTCCCGAGCTCCTGGGTGGGAGCTGGCTCGGCCTGGCCAGCCCTCATGCACTCGGTGGTCAGAGAGGGAGGAAAAGAAAAGTCCGTTCTCATTCACGTCCATCTGATTCGAGTTGTTGGCCTGTGGGGAGGGGTTGGCGTAGTTCTTTCTTCTAACTTCAGGTTTCTCCAGGGTCGCTGCCTTCAGATGTCTTTAATGACTCGTCACCTCTCAGTCACCAGGGCTCCAGCTGCTGCAGACTCCGACATCCCTCGAGGGAAGGCAGGGCTTGGCCAGGGTGGGCAGCCGCCACCGGGGCTGTGCTGCACGTTCTTGTCCAATCCCTTTCAAAAGAGCAAGCAGAGGTGACCCTCTTGGATAAACAGGAGCCCGATTTCTCTCTCCGTCTTGAAGATGTTCCTCCCAAACGAATAATAAACCCAAATAGAAATCCAGGCTTTGGCCACAGCTGGTGGAACAGCCCCACTTGGGGGAGGTAAAGCATTCCGGTTGCTCCTCATTTCCCCTCCTACCTGTATGATCTTCTGGGGAATATTTATTACAGATTAAGAGAACCATGAACATCAGCAAGCTCCGATTTTCTGAGAAACTCCTGCCTTGATCACAGAGTTCTGTTCTCGGGGACACTAAGCCGAAGTGGACTAAGGAAAGGCCGTAGAAGGAGCTGAAAGATGGTTCCAGAACAACCCAGTCCCAGTGTACGAGAACCAGCTGCAACTGCCAGGAGACCCGAGATGGGCAGGCAGATCCAGGATGGCACAGAGTGCCATTTATCGGCCACTTAATGACTGAAGTGTGGTTCTTGGGTGGCAGCGACACCAAGTGGGTTCCGCAAGTCGAGTCAGAAGGAGAGCTGTGCATCCTGGGAAGGACAAAAGTAGCTCTATCCCGGACGGAAGGGAGCTGGTTTCTCTCAAGCTGATATCCGAGGGCTGGGCCCATTGCTGGCGCCAGAGTCCAGTTGTAAAGCTCCACATACCTCTCGTGGTTTGATCTATTCGTAGCATGCTAAGAAACTGTGCAGGAAGACTGGCGGGGACAAGGGTGGTGGTGTTATGGACCAGGCTATATGAGCAATGACCCAACAGACTCCATTTTGCCCTAGACTCCAGGTAATGTGAGAAACGCTTCTCCCATGGGAATACCCCCTCCATACCCATCAATAGGTGCTTAGCATAGAATGTTAGGGGCACAAGATGGCAATTCTTATACGATGTAAAATTGTTGTCTCTTTGGTTCCCATTTTCCTTGGACAATGAACCCTGCCAGAGAATGACTATCTAGATGTTAGTAACCATTCTTTAACTTGTACTCAACTAGGGTCGTTTTGACCCACTTCTCCTTCTGCTTATGATTTGAGATCTCATGCTGTTTGTGGTCTTGAATCATAGCAACAGCTGCTTATGACTCATGTACTGGCATGTTTTACTTATGGTATAAAAGGGGCACTCAAACCGCTGGAGGGGGTCGGAGATGTAGACTTGCAGCCTGCCCCTGGTGGATCCGATCACCAGCTGGCGATAAAGATGGTTCATCTTCTGCTTTAAGTTTGACTCAGTGATTTATTACAATCTTTGCCATAACTGTGGTGACGACTCAAGATGGCCACAGTCACGTCAGTTGAATCCACATAGGCGTCAGGAAGGGCCTTATCATTATAGGGCACACATCACTTTGTATATTACCCCACGATTTTTTGATTGAACCCAGGAGAGCTTTACCACTGAGCTACATCCCTGGTCCTATTTATGTATTTATTTTTGAGAGAGGGTCTCACTAAGTTGCCCAGGCTCATCTCGAATCTGAGATCCTCCTGCCTCAGCCTCCTGAACTGCTGGGATTACAGGTGTGCACCACCACTCCTGGCCACCTCACACATTTCCCCAACAATTTTCATTTTGTAGTCATGTCTAACATATGTCCACCCAACTTTGGTACAGGTGAATACAGGTAGATTTATTAGCATTATCAATACAGACTCATGGACTCTTAATTTTTTTTAACACATAACTGTTCTTAATATATCTGTATCTCTATCTCTATATTTTTATTGAGATGTTAAAATTACCCTAGATATAATTATATGACAGAAATGGACTAGAAACCATGAGTTTATAGCTCTAATTCATACCAACTCTGCAGGGGGCTTCGTCGTTTCTCTCTTCCATACTTCTGTCCCCTTCTCTGCTCAGGTCTACGAGACACATAAATAACATGGTGTCTGCTACACTCGTTGCAGGAAAAGCAGACCTGAAAGGAGGGCACCAAGATCTGCCTGCAGCGTCTTACTCTTGGGGATGAATAGTCCCAGTCCTGCACTTAGATAATGAGACTCTTTCCTCCTCCTCCTCCTCCTCCTCCTCCTCCTCATTCTTCTTCTTTAAATTTGTTCTTTTTAGTTATACATGACAGTAGAATGCATTTTAAAATATTATACAGACCTGTTTGAGTTTTTCTTTTTATTCTGTTTCAGGACTTTTATTGTCTTGTTAATTTAACTGCTCTTTTTAATATATTGAATATTAACATTATTCCAAAAGTGTACATTGCATCAATAGATCCACAAGAGAAGTGCCGTTCCCTCCCCACTGCAACCTCTCTGGTCTAGTCCTCTTCCCCAGTCCACTTTAGGGAATCATTTAATGACTTTCTGGTTTATTTTTCCTGTATTTCTTTATGTAAGGACAAGAGTAAAGATTCATGATTTCTTTTTCTTCCAAACACTTTGTAGATATCCTCCTTGGTTTGCTTGTTTGTTTTTACAGCTACGTAGTACTCCCATTGAACTAATTTCCTATGTTTGGGCCTTTAAGTAATTTCCCATTATTTTGTAATTACAAAGAATGCTCCAATTAATAACTTTGTAGATATCATTTTAAAAATTGTCAATGCTGTGTCTTTAGGCTAATAATTCTTAGAAGTGGGATTTCTGAATGGAAGGTGAATATATCTGTATTAAAAAAATACATTGGGTTTAACAGTGGCCCCTAAAAGATATTCTGAGAACTAACACTGGGGACCTGTGAATGTGACCTTATTTAGAAAAAAGGCCTTTGTAGGTGCAAATAAGTTAAGGGTCTCAAGATGAGATCGTCTTGGACTTAGGAAGGGGAGGACCTTCTCTAAAGACAGGTGTTCTCCGCAGAGGTAGGCAGAGGGAGCTTGGAAGTACAGAGGGATTCTGGGGAGACCTCGTGAGGACAGAGGCAGAGACGGGAGTGATGGGCCCACCAGCCCCGGAGCATTGAGGACTGCCGACAGCACCCAGGGGCTAGCCGGAGGCTGGATCGCATGCTCTCAGAGCCTTGGCAGGATCGAACTGGGCAACACCTGGCCCATGGACTCTGCCCTCCAGAACTGGGCATGGATTTATTTCTGCTGTCGGAAGCTGCCCCGCTGGTGGTAATTTGTTTCATCAGGTCTTAGGAAACACATGTGTTGTATGTTGCCCAATCCCCTCCCACGGGGCCTTCTGCCTCCTCCAGCTGTGCATGGGAAGGGCAGTGTCTATGCAGTTGATGCGGGTGGGGGGCTTGGGGGGTGGTCCATCCAGCTCCCACACCTTTGCCAACTCAGCAGAGAGGAAACAGTATTTTACAATAGTTTTAGTTTGTGTTTTTTAAATTTTAAGTGAAGTTGAACATATTTCTCATGTTTAATCAGTGTATCTATGTATGTCTGCTCCTGTATTTTGTTTGTTTTTATGTAAGATTTAAAAATTCTTGTCCTTGCCAGTTGCAGTGGCACATGCCTGTAATCCCAGCGGCTCAGGAGGCTGAGACAGGAGGATCTCGAGTTCAAAGCCAGCCTCAACAATGGCAAGGCACTAAGCAGCTCAGTGAGACCCTGTCTCTAAATAAAATACAAAATAGGGCTGGGGATGTGGCTCAGGGGTTGAGCGTCCCTGAGTTTGATCCCTGGTACAAAAAAAAAAAAAAATTGTCCTTAATTTTGAAAGAGGTTCCTTATGATTTGTTATATTAGCTCCTATGGATGACACAATTTATAATTTGTAAACATTTCTTTGATGTTTCCATTTGTCTTGGGACTTGCTTATGCAATTCTCTTCTGTAGTCAAGTTTATCAGCCTCTAATTTCTTGTGGATCTAAAGGTGAGGTTAGAAAGCCTTGTCCTCCTCCTAAACGATGAGGAATTTACCCATTTTTCCT